CTTCTCCATTTGAGTCGTCCCCTTGTCCTGTCTTACTCAGAACAAAAGGTGAAATTCTTTGCATGGACCTTGGCTACTTCATTTGCTATTCTGACCCAACACTGTGAATAGCACTTTAAAGCTCTATAGACAATCATTAATACATAACAAATTAAATGAATTATTTACAGATATAGAATGATTGATTTTAAACTTCCTTTGAATAGTTTAGCTATCTCAACATACTGAATTAATATTTTTTTATATTCAACATTTATCACCCACTAAAAGTTATTTTTATTTCTTAAATATTCAGTTTGAAGTACAACTATCAAAATAAGGGTATGCTCAAAAATGTATTTCCATCCTCTAATGAGTCAGTTTCAGTCAATTCATTTATATGATTTTCTTTTCCTAAAAACGTCTTAAAAGTACAATAGTTCCTCCCTTATCATGAGAGAACTACATGCAAGACCCCCAGGGGATACTTGAAAAAATGGATAGTATGGAACCCTATATATACTAGGTTTTTTTTCCTATAAACACATAACTATAATATTTATAAATTAGGCAGTAAGAGGTCAACAATAACATAATTAAATATAATAATTATATTGTAATAGTTGTATGAAAGTGATCCCTTAAAATATATTATTGTACTGTACTTAATACTGCTTATAATGATGTGAGATGATACAGTGTGATAAGGTGAAGTGAGATGAGTAATGTAGGCATTGTAATGTAGCATTAGGCTATTACACAGTGGTTACTTGAGCAAAATCACTGTAATACAACAGTAATCAATCTGATAATGAAGACTAAATTGCTAAAGATGGGTAGTACATACAGCACAGATATGCTACACAAAGGCATGAGTCATGTCCCAGGAAGGGCAGGGTGATAAGACAGAGCACACAACTCAGAATGACATGTAATTGAAAACTTAGGAGCTGTTTGTTCTGGAATTTTCCATTTAATATTTTGGACCAGTTAACTAAAACTGTGGRTAATAGGGGACTTCTATTTTTATTATGTGATTTTTCCTCATCCTGAAATGTACTCTTAAGTATTTTGGCAGAATAGCAGTTAGTTATCTGTCACAGTTAACTCTTGTCTATTAGCTATGAATCATCTAATTGAATCAAACTCATTTTATATTAACCTGAATTTTAATGTTTTGCCATAAATGAGCTAGAAGTAGTAGATAGCTTAAGTCACTGCTGGGAGTATACCTCCTTGATGATTTTTCAATTTGTGGGTATATTTCTTAATTTTCTATTTAGAATTTAGACATTCTCAGTGTCACATACCTGTTGTAGGTACTCAGGAGGCTGAAGCCCAAGGATCATTAGGTCACATGAATTAAGAGATCAACATGGGCAACATAGCAAGACCTTGACTCAAAAAGAAAACAGTTATTAGATGGTATTTTTTTTAACGTTTGCAAACCCATAAGTTATCAAACTACTTCTAATCAGGAAAAAGTGTTTTGTTCTTCTCAGTATGCCATTATATAATTATTACCTAAACCAGACTACTTGTTTTAGTAAGCTTTTTCACCACTGTGACTAAAAAGATCTGAAGTGCAGCATTTTTGGCTACTCTTAATACTTCGCATGTGTAAAATGAGGTATAATAAAACCTACCTTCAAGGCTGATTGTTTCTTTCTTTCTACCTTTTCTTCTTCACCTTTTCTTTCTTCTACACTATTTCTTCTCAGACCCCAGGCCATTTGAGTTCTGCCTTTACCTCTCTCCTGGAAATTTTTTTTAAAGACCTAAATGACCAGCTGATGACTTTCTCCTAGACATCTTCTCACACCTCAACTTTATCTTCTCAGACCTCAACTTTTTATTCCCCCTCTGCCAATGTCAGTACTCCAGACCACCACAGCAGGCTGTTTCTGCTAAGTTATTCACCAGTCCTCACCTTGTTCACAAGTTCTCTTTCCTTCATTTCTTCTACTTACATGTTTTCCCAGGGATGTGTCTCTGCTTTTTTATTTATTCTGTGTTTATTTCCTGGGGAATTCTAGTCATTCACATGGTTTTATTTACAAATCTGTGTATGATCACCAAATCCGTATCTCTACTTCTAGAATCTCTTCTGAATGCTAGGTGCTTGCCTGATTCCTCACTATCTACCCTACTGATAACTTCAGGGTCAGTATATTAGAAACTGAGTTCATCTCTCCTTCTCCGAACATTATAGGCTTTTTTTTCTTTGTTCTTCATTTTTGTTCATCTGTACAGTGTATATAAAAGTGCAAAGAACCTAAATTACCTAAAGCAGTATTAAAAAATAAAAAGATGGTAGTCTTACACTACCTAATTTCATGATCTACAGCAGAAAAACAATAAAACAGTGTGATTGATTCTAACGTAAGAATTTACAAGTAGATCAGTGCAGCAGAATAAAGAGACTAGAAGATTAAAGTTAAATGATATATGTGCTTTATATAATTTAATTTTCAATAAATATGCTAAAGCAACTGCATCTCTACTTCTGAAATTTCTTTCAAGTACTAGGTGTTTGCCTAAGATGGAGAAAGGGAAAGTCTTGTGCAAATGATACTAAAAATGAGGAATTGTCATATAGAAAAACAAAACTAACTTGAGCCCCTACTTTATACCATGATCAAAATTAATTTGAGACAGATCATACATTTAAGAACTAAATATAATAAATATGTTGATATAATATTATATTCTTGGGTAAGTGGAGATTTCGTAGAAAACTTATAGAAAGTAAACACCATATGCAAAAATAGATAAAACTTCATCAAAATTATAAACTTTTTGTCAGAAACATAGTTAAGACAATTTATAGGCAAAGAACAGACTAGGAGAAAATATATTCTTTTTTTAAAGAGAGAGAAAGAGAGAGAGACAGAGAATTTTAATATTTATTTTTTAGTTATCGGCAGACACAACATCTTTGTTTATATGTGGTGCTGAGGATCAAACCCGCGCCTCACGCATGCCAGGCAAGCACGCTACCGCTTGAGCCACATCCCCAGCCCGAGAAAAAATATATTCTAAAATAAATATCTGAGAAAGGACTGATATTTAGGATACACAAAAAAATTCCTACATTTCAAGAATAAAAAGATGCAAACCCCATTTTTTAATGGGTAAAACATCTGATAACAGTTTACTGGGAAGATACACAAATGGCCAGTAAGAACATGAAAGAAACTCAACATCACAGAAATGCAAATTAAAATCTTAGTGATATGTTACTATATATTCACTAGACTAACTAAAATTCAAAACACTGACAACACAGCATGTAGTGTGGAGCAACTGGAATTCTCCTGTAGTATTTCTAAGAATACAAAATGGTTTACACTTTGGGAAACAAACTGACATTTTTTCTGATTAAAAATAGACATCTATTCTATGACCCAGTAATTCTACTCTGAGGTATTTACCCAGGAGAAATGAAAACATACATCACAAAAAAGACCAGTGTAACATTTAGTAGCAATTTTATTCATAATGGTTAAAAACTGGAAACAGCTAGGTGTTAATTAATAGGAGAATAGATAAAATCTGGTATAGTTATACATTGAATAGGATTAAATAAAATCATTTAGTGGATTATTGATAAATGTAACATGAATAAATCCCCAAAACACAATTACAAGATATCTTACACAAAAGAAGATAGACTGTGCTGTCATTTTATAAAATTTGAGAACAGTTACAACTAATCTTCAGTTGCGGGGAAGAATCAGAAGAGTGGTTGTGTCTGGAGTGATGGAGTCGGGATTGACTGGTTTGTAAGGAGTTTGAAGGATTGGGTGCTAGTCAGCAAAAAAGATATGTCCATGGGCCAGTCACAGTGACACATGCCTATAATTACAGCAACTCAGGAAGCTGAAATAGGAGGATTTCAAGTTCAAGGCCATCCTCAGAAACTTAGTGCAACTTGTTTCGAAATAAAAAGGATTGAGGATGTAGCTCAGTGGCAGAGTACCAGTAGGTTCATTTCCCAGTACCAAAGGATGATCAGGGAACATGGGACAGGCTTGCATAAGAAAGGAAGTTCCTCACAGAATGAGACTGTCTAGAGACTTATGGCAAGAAATCATTATCCAGAAAGAAAGGAGGACAAGGGAATTCATGGGGAAGAGGAGGATTAGAGAGGTTGTCTCTGGAGATTAGTTATTCAGGTGATGTTAATAGCTTGGAAGGGATCAGAGAGCTCAAGAGTAGTAGCAACTTAGGGTCTTATAACCACAGACTCTGTTACATTGTCCAGCAAAGACTGGCTATACAGAGCAGGCAGGCTAGTAGTGGCTAAAAATCTGCTCATTTTAAACTGTTTTTGAAATAATCAAGTACGTAGAAATTTGGATTTGGCATTAATGAGCATTTGAGCAAGCTGGCCTCAACCTGCAGTAAAGAAATAAATAACCCAAGGGTCAATACATGGAGGCCATCCTGGGCTAATTTATATAATAACTGACAAAGAACTAAAGGGAAATTTTTGGAGTGATAGTTTCATTTACCATGATAGGAATTTAGGTTACACAAGTGAATTCATTTGTCAGAATATATACTTGGTTTATACATTTGTGCATTTCATTGGATAAGTTTTATAGCAAGAGAAAAATTCTAAATAAATATTGAGCCTCTAATTAGTGATATGCATGCTGAAGTATGTAGGGGGATATGAACTGCTTTATGCAGTTAACACTGACATGCCAAAATAAAATGATTAAATGAATAAATAGTTGGATTACGTGTATAATGATAAAATCAAGGTTGAGGTTTACTTGTGTTTATTGTAAAACTATTTCAACTTTTCTTTATGTTTCAAAATGTTTTGATGAAGTATTAAAGTTTGCTGTGTGGAGAATAGGCTGGGGGACCATTGAGAACACTATGCCATTGCATGAAAAAATATTTCACTGTTTTATATTTCTTGACTAACTATAAATTTTATTTTCATAAAACTTAGTCCTGTAGTTGATCATTTGACTAACTTATCTGTGTCATGTAATCTGTTGCAGGGAAAGTCCTTCTGCTAGTGTTGACACATGTGCATTTCTGTCATCATTTATGTGCTCCAGTAGGACTCTGCTAATTGATGGTCGGGCAGAACTCAAAAGAGGCCTGCAGAGGCAGGAGAGGCATCTTTTTCTTTTCAATGATCTGTTTGTTGTGGCCAAAATCAAGTAAGTATATTGCATACTCTGTCCCACATATCATTATACAACTTCATTTCCACTAACATACCCTTTCTATTCAGTGCTTACAGTAAGAATATCTGGTCTCTATTACCATAGCTAATATCTGAAGTGAGTTTTATGTTTGTTTTGTTTCTGAAAAAAAAGTTTCCATTGCTTCTTCATTAAAAATATGTTCATTTAGATCCTCTTTGTGCCACACCCTGAATAAATATAGAAGACACAGTGAAGAATGTGGTGGGTATTGTCCCTTTTGAAGCTTACATTCTAATGTGAGAGCTTATATTTTTATATGTATGGGGGAACTACAAATTATGATTAGTACTGTGAAGAAAATAGGATAGGTTTGGATTCCTTTCCACATGAGCCTTTCCCCAGTGCTACTCATAATATGGTCAGTTGCCTACTTTAGGGTGAAAGATCTTTTGGAAGTTATGTACCATCATTTATAATGTATGCTACTAGCAACAGAGACCAACCTTAGTGTAGTAGATATGGCAACTATATGAGGGTGTATCAAGAAGCAGGGAGGTTTGGAACCATGAAGGATATAAGGAGTTTGATTTTCTTCTGCAGTCATAATGTGATATTTTTTTATATACTTGCTCATGTTAGGTTGGAAGACAGGCAAGAGTGGAAGCAAATAGACTAGACAGAGGTTATTGTAGTCCCAATGAGAGATAATGAGGACATTATCTCTGGAGATGACAATTAAGGATACAACATTTCAAGTATGCCTTAGAGGTACCCAAGAGAACTCATCTATTGCTCAATGCTACATGCCAGTGCAATTAACACCTAGCCTAAAAAGTGGTAGCTGCTAATTCCTCCATCCCTCATTCTTATGAGTTGTGAAACATCATGAAAAACAAATGGCATTTTAATAAATCAATTCTCAACAGAGATTTTTAGTCACTAGAAAATAGTAAACACTTTATTTTTACTACCAATACTCTAACACCTAAGTTATGCTGTGTCATAATTAAGGCATGGTAGAGAAGTATTTAATTTGGCAAAACATTATATTTAATTGGAGTGGTATTAACAATGAAAAATAGCATGGATCTTATTGTATGTTGGATATTATTACAAATACTTTAATCTTTATAACTACCCTGAGATATTACTTTCCTCTTTTTACAAAGCAATTGATATAGTCAGAGAAGCTAAGTGACTTTCCTAGTATTAAAAATTTAGTAATTAGTTGAGACCACATTTGAACATAGATCTTTATTTCAAAGTCCATCTTTGAACCAGTGTATTTTTCTGAATTTGCTAGAAGATTTTACAACTGTATCGTTGTTTCATAATTAGTCTTTCCTTTGTGATGAGTTAAATGCTCCAGCTAAACACCTATCTAATAAAAAAAAAATGGTATATAAAAACTCAAAGCAAAAATAAAGATAAGACTTTCAGAATGTTTTAAATAGAAGTAATGCCTATAGCTTTGGAAATGAATATGATGTTATGAGTAATATAGAGAAAGAAAAGTCTCCTTATCCAACCTTTGCACTAGGTACACTTGATTCTATTAAAAGAAAAACAAATCATTTTTTAAATGTAGATTATCTATCATGCCTTTATTTAAATTTAATTAGATGATTCTATACGCTAGGTATTACAATAGGAGAATCACAGAGGTATAATTTAATTTTCCTAATAATTCCCCAACCTAAGAGTTGTTTTAGATATCAAACACTGAAGCTCAGGAAGGTTTGTCACATACCAGGAGTTCTCACAGATGGGATTTGAATATAGGCCTTAATTCTAGCAGCTAGTTCCTTCTACTTGACCACGTTGTACTTATTAGGTGCCCGACCTGTGCTTAACCTGTAAGCAGATATCAAAAACCTAAAATAACCAAATTTTTTAAGTCTGGGGTCCCAGAGTTATTTATTTGTAACATACACTTGGTTGTTAGGAAGGAATGCATTTTCCTGTGCCTTTCTTGGATTATTATTCTCTTAGAAATTATGATAATGTTCAGAGAAGGGGACCTTTGTTTTCTTACCTGAAGTTATCTATTGTTGTATTGCAAACATTTAAATGGTTTTATGTATCTTATGTTTTGCTAAAAGCCTGTTAGTTTCTTTTCTATTAGAAAATCACTATTCTTAGATACATTGGCAACATCTATGTCCATAATCTACTTCTATAGCTGAGTTTTTATTTTTTTTAATATTTTTAATTGTAGATGAACACAATACCTTTATTTATTTATGTTTATGTGGTGCTGAGGATTGAACCTAGTGCCTCACAGATGCCAGACAAGTGTGCTACCACTGAGCTACAATCAAAAAAAAAAAAAAACTGGGCTGGGGTTGTTACTCAGTTGGTAGAGTGCTTGCCTATGTGTGAGGGTTTGATTCTCAGCACTGCATATAAATAATAAAAATATTAAGTCCACTGACAACTAAAAAAATTTAAAAAAAAAACCTTTCTCATGTAAGGTTTATACCATGTTTTATCTACATACTGCTTTCAAGATGACTCTGTGGGTTCACTTAAATGTTTTTATGAAGTAACAAACTATCAGTTAATTTAAATGCTATTATTTAAGAGATTTGGATCATAAAAAATTATTGTAAGTATTTTACATATCCATTAAAGTTTTTAAAAGCATGAGTTATCTTAAGTTATTTCATTTTTTAGCAGAACCCAATACCCTTGAAACACAGCATAGATATTTGAGGAAATAATTATTATTATGGAATCCTGCCACCTTGAAAATATTTTATCTACAATTTTTCAGGAAATTACTTATATGATTATTTCCCATAGCAAACATGTAGATGTATTCACAGATCCATTTTAATATGAATTTAATTTTTTTCTAAAATAATCAGCACCAGGAAGAAATATCCCCCTGTAATGCCAAACATATGTCTGTCCTATCACCTTTCATTCTTGGATGAAGGATTAGGTGGTACCCTGGATCATTTAATTTGTTGCAATAATCTAAGACTAGAACTTAGTATTTGATGCTTTGTACTTTTGTTTAAAGGGAGACCTTGGGTTCCATATTAGTTCATCTTTAGTCGTTAGGTTGAGCTTATAGAAATAAATGCAAGTGGGATAAATTATTGCTCAGCTGCCACTTACTTATTTAATCACACTAGGTGAATTGGAGAGTTTAAGTGCTTTCTTTTATTTGCTGAAGTATTATATGTGTTCCATTTTGTGCTGGATGTTGTGATAATATTAGCAGAGAATTATTTTGAGGTTATTGTCATTTTTTTTACAAAATTAGAACAAGTATTAAAGCCAAATGGACCCTAAAATCCATTTTTTAAAATTCACTAGAAAGATAAATAAGTTATTTTTCTAATAAAATTGTAGCTTTTCATTTTTAAAAACAGGATGTGTTTACAAACATGAAAATATTTACAAGGAGGAGGATGTTATGTTAATAGCTAAAAACAACCATGAGTAATTTTTAGAAAAGAAATGACCTCACACACACTTAAGCTATCTCTAGTCCTTTCATTTCCTAATCAAATGATAAGCCATGAGTTCTGTTTAGATAAAAGTATATTTAACAAAAGTCTTGATTATTGATTCATTATCACTAAAATTACCATTAGATAGTTATAGACTATATCATGATTTTATCCCAAAATATGACTATAACGCATCTATATTTTATAATGAGGAGAGAATCTTCATAGAAACCTGTGTATTCCAGTATAAAAGTCAGAGGGTAGGAAAACAAGGTATGCTTGCCATCTTAATTTTATAGTAATATAGAAATAAGGAATTGATTTGAGAGGGTTGTTTTGTGTTTTCAGCCAGTTACTATTAGATTTATACTTTTATCAAAATGGTACTAAGGGAGATAATAAATAATAATTTAGGAGCCAGTTCAAGTTGGATTCAGATTAATTTTTGTAGTCTAATACTGTTAGAGATTGAGAATGAAAAATTGGAAGAACACTATGATGCCAGTACCAACCATTTCAATATAAAGCTTTATTGGAAGACTTGTTTTAAATACTTACAAGCTAATCCCTTCAGCTTTATATCCATAAATGTTTGTGAGATTTGTCTCCTATCACTATAATAAGCACACACAGTCTCATCAGAAAGCCTTGTATCTTTGGAAAGACCAAAAAAAAAAAAGTAGGCCAAAGAGAGAAAAGCTATAGGAAATTTAATGGAAAGATTCTCACATCCATGTTCAGTTTTAAGGCTTTTCATAGATACATTATGTTTAACAGCATAAATATGAATATGCTTGGGAATGATTAAATGCCATTAAAATAAGCTTTTGTCTGTAATCAGATCTGTTTTATAAAAATTAAAGATTCATAGCAGTGGGTTGAAAATATTTAAAGAAGCCATTTATCTCAAATCACAAAGGTATTGTACCCAAAGGGAAGCATAAATGAGACTTAGAATTTAGGTTAGTCTTTATGTATAGTTCCTGAAAATCCATTTTCATTGTATAAATCCCACCAAATAGTTATAGCTTTAAATATTCCATATATTAGAGCAGTTTAGGAACCATTCCATATAAAGTATTTTTATTTCTTTTTAACTTTTAGTATTTACACAAATGGTTCTGGATGCTAGAAAGTTCTAAGTTTCCTGGGGCTTTCTTTATCCTTCTCAGTGCTTTCCAACTACTTAAGTCTCAGATCTATTATGAGTATTAAATCTATCAATTAAGTCAAAAGATATGGTGGTATCAGAGGTCTAAGGGAGATAAAATTGAAATTATCTAAAAGCAGTTTTACTGGTGACTTAAAACAGGTCATCTTCTAGGTTCCCGGAGATGAGTGTTAACTGTGTCAACTTCATTCTTTTTTCTTTTCTAGTGTAGGTTCTGATTTTAGCCTATATTTATTCAGTTTTGCCAGATTATAAAGAAAAATGGTTAAGCAGAATCATAAGTGAGGAAATTTAAAACAACTTACACTTTTAAAGACTAGAAAGTCTTGCAGCCATTTAGTTAAAAATTACTCTAATTCCAGGTTCTTATGTGCCATAATTGTATAAACATTTTTATAAATCACGAGCCACTCAAATATTTTTTTAAAGTAAGCAAGATACAAATAATAAATGAACTAATTTTGGTAATAGCAATACATTTAAATTAGGGTTTTGATCCAAATACAACACTTAACATATAGAAAAATGAAGTAGCTAGTTTAAAAAGAAAAAAAATATATTAAAAATACACCTACTAAATGTATCACCAAATATTTCAAAGCCTGTTTCATGGGCCTAGGTAGCTAAGCATGTCACAGTTCACTGTGCTAAGTGCTAAAGATAAAAACAATAAGACGTTCTTTGCCTGTGATAAGTAGAAATGTCCTCTTATAACAAGTACAGAAGCTCCTGTGAAATTTGAAGAAAATAATGAGAAGTCCTGTTTTATTTTTTTCTCTCTCTAGATATAATAATAACTTTAAGATAAAAAATAAAATTAAATTAACTGATATGTGGACAGCAAGCTGTGTGGATGAAGTGGGAGAAGGTAACACCAATGCCATGAAATCCTTTGTCCTGGGCTGGCCCACAGTGAACTTTGTGGCCACTTTCAGGTAAGAACCATCTCACTGTCCTATTTTTGCCTGGCTTAGCTACTGTAATGATGTTTAGGATGACAGAAACAATTTAATCATTTTGTTGCCTGGATTTTTAAAGGAAAATATTTTATTCTGATTGTTTAGTCAATGTCTTTTCTGACACAAACATCCAACAAAAATACTTCTTCTGTGTCTTGTGTTTTACCTAACAACCTTTTGATTACAACATATGAAAATTATAAATACCAGAAACTGTTAGAGTCATTTACCTTGATTTCACCAGTGATTTTTAAAGGGGTTTTACTGAAACAAATGGAAAGAAAGGAACTTCCAGGAATGGGAAGTGGAATAAGAGAGTCAGATTTTTAGGAAGCTCCTAAGTCCAATATCTCTTTTCCCTAGGGTCTAGTTGTTTGATGCGTTTCAAAAGCTCAATATGTAAAAACAATCTTTCAAACCACTGAAACAGATCTTCACAGAACAGAATCAAGTTTTATAAAATAGTACAATTAAGTTTGAATATGGATTTGTACTCCCAGATTTTGTAAGGGAATAGTATGTTTATTATACAAATAAAAATGATATAATGAAATACTGAGTTTCTTGAATCGTGTGTCTGGTTTTGATTTGTTATCTGTAAAGATGTGACAAATTAGTTTCCCAAGACTCATTCCTAGGTAGGGATGGGGTGGTTGGAGAATATATAGCATACAGAATATTTGTCCTCCTATCCTGAACATGCTTAGAGGGTACTTTTTAGTTCAAGGTGAATATACCAAAACTCTCACACCCATGATATTCAGTGGTTGCACCTCAACTCCAATGTTTATTTTACACTTAGAGATATTGTTCATCAAATGTATATGAGGATTTTCATTCTTTTTATCTTCCCACTACTAGCAAACTACTTGGGTATCATCCTGAATCCAGATTGCTAAAAATTTCCAAGCTGTTGTTCTTCTAATAAGGGCTAGGCATGCCATTAAATTCTGTTATGCACTATTGGCCTACCACAGATTTTAAGAACTTATTTGGAAGAAGCATGTGTTTGTATCATTCTCTGCATATCTTCTTTCCCATGACAGATTTCTGTAGATACTATCATTTTCGATTGTTTAATCTCTTTGAAGTTAAAAGTTAAAAAGAGAAATTTCAAGCAAGGAGTATCTACATGATGTTTTTAATCAAATAATTTTCATTAAACTTCATTTTAAGAAGGGAGAATGTGAAAACATGTTTTATATGTACTGTGTTGCTCAAAATATGGTTCTTTTACCAAGTGACAAAGATTAGCATCACCAGTGGTATTATGTGGATGTCATGTACCCCTTAATATAATAATGTAAAAGAAGAATAATTTACCTCTGTGGTATTCTCCCCTCCCACCCAAAACCCATAACCCTAATCTTATGAGGAAACCTCCAACAACCACAAATTGAGGAAGGTTTTAATAGTATACCTGACCAGTTCTTCTCAAAATAGTCAAGATCAGAAACAGGAAAGATAGAGAAGTTTGCCTAGACCATTCACTAACAAGACATAAGAACTAAATGTAATAAATTGGCTCCAGAACAGAAAAAGGTCCCTAATTAAAAGAAAAAAAAAACTGGTAACAGCTGAATAAAGTCAAAGTCAAGAGTTTAGCTTATATAGTAGGTACCAATATTTCTTAGCTTTGACAAATGGGCCATGATAATGTAAGAAGATAACATTCCAGGAAACTGAATTTGGGTGAGAAGTATACAAGTACTCTTATATATATGTAACTTTTCTGTATATCTAAAATTATTTCAAAATTAAGTTTATTTAAAAAGAAGTGTTGAGGAGTTCTACCTCCAGTATGGCAGAGTGAGATCTTAACAGACTGACCACCCTACAGATAACTGTAAAATCTGAACAAAGTACAAACAACAACAACTACCTAAGGGTTCTGGAGAGTGGACAAAACTTGGGAGATTTTGGAGAGGAATTGAAACTTCAAAGAAGCCACCAACACTCGGTGAGTTTCCCACTTTTAAGGCTTTAGTCTAGGGCATGCTGCACTCACACTGTGATGCAGGGTAGCTAAAACTTACAAAACCCCACAATCTTATTTGCCTGAAGAAGCAGACAGAGTACAGAGTCTAAGTCAGTACAACTAATGAAAAGTGAGTGAAAAGTGGGGTGTGAGGGGACTCAAAAAGAAGCATGTCAGAAAAAGAAAGCTCCACATTCTGTGTACAGATGCCCTCCAAACATCTAGCTAATTGCTGGACCCTATATGCATGGGATACATAGAGAGCAGCTTGAAACTAAAAGAATTGAACTGAGCTGCTGACCATCACAGGTGGGATAGAGCTTGTAACTTAACCTGATCAAATTAATTATCTGCTAAAACAGAAATATCAACACTGTTTTGAAAATATAATAGAATGCAATCTCTGAAACAAAGCATTCATAATGTCCAGAATCCAATCCAATCTAAAATTCCTTGACATATAAATAACAAGGAATGAGAAAAAATAATCAAGAAGCCAACTTTTAGATGGACCCATATATTAAATTACCAGAAAAGAATTTAGCACCTTAGCATGGTAGGTAAATAGAGAATCCAGTTGACAGTAATGAAAAGATAAGAAATCTTGGCAGAGAGATAGGAAATATTTTTAAAGGGTCAAATGAAAAAATCTGAAATTAAAAACTAACATCTTGGGGTTGTGGCTCAGTGATAGAGCACTTGCCTTGCACATGTGAGGGCCTAGGTTCAATTCTCAGCACCACATATAAATAAATAAAATGTTGAAAACTAAAAAAATGTTAAAAGAAAACAAATTTTAAAACTATAAAATCTTAAATAAAAATCTTCTGTATGGCCTTACTTAAGAATGGAAATGACAGTCAGTGAATTTGAAGATGCATCAATTCAAATTGTACAATATGAAGATCAGAGAAACCAAAACTTTTTTTAAAAAATGGAAAATGTATCAGGGACTTGTGGGATGGCATAAAATGGTATAATATACAAGTAATTGGAATTCCAGAAAGAGGAAAGAGAAGGAATGGAGAAGAAATACTTGAAGAAATAATGGTTAAAAACCTCCCAAATTTGGTAAAAGACTAAATGTACAGATTTCTTAAGTTCAGTGAACTCCAGAGTACATAAGTACAGAGCACAGAAGAAAACTACATCTTGTCGTCATTATAGACAAACGACTATAAATCAAATATCTGAGAAAGTACTCAGAAAATCTTGAAAGTAGTCAGAGAAAAACAATATATTACATATGGAGAATAACAATTTGAATTATTGTAGACTTTTCATTAGAAACTAAGGAGGTCAGAGGATAGTTAAAAAACAACTTCAAGTGTTGAATTTTTCAGTCTTTCAAGTATTGGGAGAGAAAATTTTAACCTAGTATATAATATCCAGCAAAAATATTCCTCAAAAGTGATAGTAAAATAAAGATATTCTTTAACCGTAAAAATTTATTGCCAGCAGACCTTCTCTACCAAAAAAAAAACGAAGTTTTTCAGGCTGAAGTGATATTATATCAGAGGGAAGCTTGGATCTTTAAATATATACCATATATTTACATATTTCTACATGCACACATACTTACTAAATATTAAGGAGACTCTAGGCTATGATCAGTTTTAAATACCATTAGACTAGTAGCTCAAGAAGCAATCACTTGGGCTCAGTTACTACACTATCTGTAAAGAAACAAAAAATAAAAACTTACAGCTTTGAAATTTAATACTTGACAACTGCCTAAATCTATGAGAATTTCTTAGTTAGGTCAAACTGGGAGAAACAATGTGAACTTCCCATACTTTGGGGAACACGATAAACAACTCTCAAGAAGGACTAAAAGGAATTTCAAATTTCTATCAGCATACATATTCTATTAACAAACCTAGTACCTAAGCCAGGCTCAGTAGAGCACTCCTGTAATCCCAGGACTTGGGAGACTGAGACAGGATGATTGCAAGTTTGAGGCAGCCTCATAAATTTAGTGAGGACCTGAAGAATTTATTAAGACCCTGTCTCAAAGTTGAAAAAATAAAAAGAACATAGGATGTAGCTCAGTGGTAAAGTGCCCCTGGGTTCAACCCCCATTACAAAACAAACAAACAGAAAAACACCCTAGGATCTATGCCTACCAGAAAAAAATGATGCTTATTTTAAAGGAAATACTTAAATCTGACAATGATCTATCTATAATAGGAATCAGAATAATATTTTAACTGAAGTAATGAGTCTTAGACTATAATGTAGTCATAGACTACAAACTCATGTGCGGGTTTATTTATAGATCAAATTAAAACTCACTTTAAGTTCACATGTTGACATGCTGGTAGAAAACAAAACTTTTTTCTTAAGGTGAAACCAGAATACAGGAGATTTTTGAGATGCCTCCAAAACAGTTGAAAGCCGCCTCTAACTTTCAATTTATTGTAATCACTGCTAACATCATCTTTTTGCTATGCCCATAGTTGTTGCTTTACATCCAGAGATGTTCCAGCAAGTACAGTAAGGTATCTTTGCTGATGCAAATTCCTTCGTGTGTAGGACTCAGCCTCCCTAGTTGTTCCTTAAAACAATTTCTTCCGAGTTCTTTCTGTTTTCTTAGGGCATCTGAACTGACATCTGGTTCCCACCGCACACTGAGGGATGATAGATCTCCATCCCCTCCATAATTTGAGAGAATCTTGCAATCTGTCTGGACCTTTTTCTTACCTCCACCACTATATTCTTCTCCTTTGGATCTTATTGTCTTTTTTAATGTTCTTAGGTGTTTATGAAACTCTGAGATAACCATTGATTTTAGAGTACTGTGGACTTGTGTCCTGTAGAAATGACTAGGATAAAGAATTCCAGAAGAAAGGGGAGTTGTGGATTCTTGTATAGAGCAAGGGGGAAAGGCAAAACAACACAAAATTATACAAATCAATCTCCATAAATTAACCTGACACATTCATAATTAGTTTTTTTTGCTAACTATTCAAACAGTGAACACTATATTGCAATAATAATGATGGTTCTAAAACTACATGCAGTTAATAAGTTTACTTTTTTTATTGGTATGGTTAACTCTTCTATGCAATTGGAAAGTAAGATAGTGGAGGTTAGTGCCTAAAAAGGAGCAGAGGATTTTCCAAGGTTATTTTCTGTTTTATAATCTGAGTGCTGGTTACATGGATGTATTCAATTCATAAAATTTCTCAAGCTGTACACTTAAAAGCTATGCTGTTTTCTCTATATATTTGTCAGTTAAAAGTTTTTTTAAAAAAAGTATCTTAAATGTGCTGTTTTCTTTCACTGCTTTGAAAAAGTTAATGAGTCCAAAGAAAACATCTAGTCTATTTTTCAACACAGATTTTTCATAGATAAATAAATAAATATTTGACATAAATGAAACCAGAAAATCTGTTTTAGAAAAGAGAATATACCAGGAAGTAATAAGAAATTATTAAAGATAGAAATTGTGTGGCTGGTGGTAAAAAAAAAAAAAAAAAAAACTCGACCAATTCTGAAAGATCATTTATGAAGAAAAATATTAAGCAACAAAGTTTGAAATAAATTACAAATATTTATGAAGTACATTTTCCCGAAATAAGAAAATTTTTCCAATTTCTCTGAAAATTAGAAATATGATTTTTAAGGCTGTGAGAGATAACACTTTGGAAAAATAAACTTGAAATTATTTTTAACTTTATGAATTAAATGCAACATTCGCATCAAAAATTATTAATAGTAATTTAGTTGTGAATAAATTCACATTAATCAAAAGGTTATAGTAAGTAGTAAGTTTTCTATAAACTAATTTCTTAAATTACAGTTTTTCTCTATTTATATAAAAGAAAACAATGCTTCTTTTCCTGATAAAGAACTGGTTTCTGGGCCAAGACATTTTTATCCATATGCCAAATTTCTCTTTCATCTCAATATTTAGCATACTTTCTATCTATTATGACACTTATAACTGATTAAACACTGAGTGAGAATGATTAATCCAGTTTTATATGTGTAGGAACTGAGGATTAGGATAAGTACCTTGCCCATGATTATCATCTAGATTGCATATAATTTGGAAACCAGTTGTTTGGATTACAAATCAAGTATTCTTTTCACTACAAGACCTATTTCATGGGTATAATAGCTCTTGTAAAAGACCAGTAAAGTATAAAAAGGGGTCTATCTTAGACCCATCCAAAAGAATTTAACAAACCTACAAGGGCATTTCAAGGTCTTCCAGGACAAAATTATGCTGGTTTGCAGCTTACATGTATAACTTCTTCAGTAACAACAGGCTTGTTGATATTTTCATCTGGATTGGCAGCCTCAAAAATGTTAGCATAATTATTTTATGTGGTTTAATTTTTCTCTTCCATTTTCTTTGCAGTTCTCCAGAACAGAAGGACAAATGGCTCTCACTTCTTCAGAGGTATTTTTTAAGTATACTTATTTTTAATCTTTAGCCTGTAGAAATTGAATTAAAACATATTCTTCAGAAATGTGCCCCAAACTCTTCCCCTTAGTATAAATTGTTCATTTGCCCTCAAAATAAATTCTCATTTAGACTGCCCACTACTCCTTGCTAAAAATAATTCCTTCTTATTACAGTGTTTCGTCTTTCTCGGAAGGAGAACATTGAAGTCCAAATAGATCATTTTAGACAAAAATTAGTAATCTATTCCATCTCTTGCTGTTGTCTCCAAGCAGCTACCAATTGGAGATAATTTTCTCCAAAATATGTATTGTTTCCAAAAATGCAAGGATTTCTGTGGAGCTCCACAAAAATCAGTTCTGTTGAGCATACAGACTAAGATGGTCAACTTAAGCTCATTGGTTAGAACCCATAGTCCTTTCCTTCTTACTTCTTTTTTCCCTCTCCCTAAGCAGTGAGATAACCAAGATTTATACTCCACTGGAGAATGAAATGAGAAGTAAAAAACCATTTGCTTTGGTTTGACTTAGTAAAATGTTATGTATATTCTTGTACTTATCAAGGTACCAGACCTTTTCAGAGAAGACAAGGAGGCTTTAAAGATAAAAATGTCATCCAGAGGTGCCTGAACTTGATTATACTTCTCAATCCTCACTTGACATGGATTTTTTTCCATGCCCATGCCTAATGTCTTGCAATCTTTTGTATTTATCTTTCAACCCATAACGTAATCTGACTTTGCTGAGTCTTTCACGCGTCTTTTTAAGAGTAGCATGTAAATAAATTGAAAATATTAGTAAAATAAATTAAAAAACAAGCCATTAGTGAATACCATCTGACTCTGTCATTTTGGATTGTCATTGCATTTGATTAGATACATCAATCTAGAGAAAGAAAAGGACTATCCGAAGAGTATTCCCCTCAAAATCTTCGCCAAAGACATTGGGAACTGTGCTTATGTAAGTGTTCTAAGTGAGAAAATTAAATTCCAAGTCTCTGTATAAGGCAGAAAACTCCATGGTTAAAAAGAGACAGGCAGGCAGGTAATGTACATACTATAGAAGGTAGGTGTCTGGAAATAGCATATAAGGGAAGATGCTTTCTCCTGGGTTTGTGTCTTTGTATGTATGAAAAGTAAAGACTCAAGAAAAGGAAACAAGGAATTTGTATTAACTACAGTACTTAACATTTAAGCTTGTAAAGAATACTGTTTGTCAGATGTCTCTTCTTCTTCTGTCATATTTCTCTGAGATCTTTTCAATAGCAGTTGCAGAGATTTGTAGTAAAATTATTTCCGTAAGGAGGTATTTCCTATTAGTATTAAGCAGGTTTTCTTTAAACTTGTCACTTCTTCAACTTAAAATAATTTTTAAAGCTTATTATTTGAGTTTCTAGAGATTGAATCCCTCAAGTTAAAAAGTGGATGGTGTGGGAGAAATTAGATTTTTAAGGAATTGGCATGCTTCTACCTCATAATGTTTATCATATTGTTAAATGTTTAGTTTTTAACCCATGTTCCTATGTGTAATTTGTTGACTGAAATTGTAGTACAAGAGCCAAGATGTTATCAATGATAAACAAGATAAAAACATATATTTTTATGATACTATGGATTGTCATATTTCACACTTCTCACCAAAAGCAAAAGTTATGCCAGCTGGGCCCAGTGGCACATGCCTGTAATCCCAGTGGCTTAGGAGGCTGAGGCAGGAGGATTCTGAGTTCAAAACCAGCCTATTTTGTATTTTATTCAAAATAAATAAGATCCTGTCATTGAATAAAATACAAAATAGGGCTGGGGATGTGGCTCAGTGGTTGAATGCCCTGAATTCAATCCCCAGTATCCCCACCACCCCACAAAAAAAAAAAATGCAAACATTCTGACCAATTCCTGAGGTGTAGATATCATGGGATTTTTTTTTTTAACATTTTATGTATGGAAGGTATATGCTTGAGAAAGAACCAATTTCCCACTCATTTTGACAAAAGATGTGACCAAGGTGGGGTGCTCTGCTTCTATCACTAGGACCATGGATAAATCAAGAATGAAGTGAGGACAACTCTTTGGTTCTCTGAAGTAGATTTTATGGCAAGAGTTTCTTTGAGAGAGCCCTACTTCAGGGAAGAATGATTCCCCCAACAAAGGCTTTGTTTTTTAATCCATCCTTTAGTGATACACAACCTGTCAGCTAATATGGAATGGAATACCCATATTTTCAGTTTTTTTTCTCTTTTGTTATTTGTTTATACCCAATGAGCTCTTTCTACTGAAACTAATTTGTTTTCTTTCCCATAAAGGTATGTAGACAAAAATATATTTCCTGTAATTACTGTTTTGAAAATATATGCCTAATGTTAAGAAAAATTATCTTAGAAACAGGATAGATTCTTCACTATACAAAAGACAACATGAGTTTCTTTAAACTGAAGGGGAGCTCTTTCAGATGTTTAAAAAAAAAAAAAAAAGCCAGATGCCCTTTCTGAAATTGTACTTCAAGTTTAAGCCTGGCATGTAACATTCCTATGCTCTTCTGGTGGAAGACAGATTCTGGATTGGGTACTTCAGGACCTCCCTGTTGGACTGTGAGACACTGTAGACATTTTTGCGTAATCCTTGGAGCTACTAGGAGTTTTTGTTTGGTTAATTTTTTGTTTGTTTCAGGAATTGAACCCAAGAGCACTTAACCTCTGAGCCACATCCTAGTATTTTATTTTGAAACAGGATCTCACTAAATTGCTTAGGGCCTCACTGAGTTGCTGAGGCTAACCTTGAACTTAGAGCTGCTGGGTTTAGCAAGGAACACTTTTTTAAAATCAATGCATTTAAAATGCTTTTATTAAAAAACTGAAATTTAATAACAACTTTTAGAAGAAGTTGTCCTGTCAACTAATTGGCTCAGAGGGAAGAAACAGTATAACAGAAGAACATGTGACAAATTATTAGTGGATTTTGCTTAGCTTATTTATAATATATCCTTTTGTGTTTTATATCATTTTGTTTCCATCTATGCTTCTCATTTGTGTTCTATCAGAGACACAGTCTTAATTGCCAGTTTATCTGATAATTATGTAAAATTTAAATGCATAGCAAACTTATTTGTGATAGGATAGTATTGTATATAATCTCTTTTGAGAATTTATTGAACTCTATATGTAAATAAATCCTTTTATTTGTTGTAATTATTTGGGGAGGTGGGTTTGTTTGTTTGTTTGTTTGTTTGTTTGTTTCTGATACTTGAATTTGAACTCAGGGGTAATCCCCATCCCTATTTTGTATTTTATTTAGTGTCAGGGTCTTACTGAGTTACTTAGTGCCTTGCTTTTGCTGAAGCTAGGTTTGAACTCACTTTCCTCCTGCCTCAGCCTCCCAGCTGCTGGGATTACAGGGTGTGCCACCATACCCAGCTGTTGTGATTATTTTTAATTAGCAGTTCTCAATGAAGTTGAGCACAGAACTATTATAGTTACTCAAAGACAGAGTAGATAAAAGAATTGAGCTTTCTAAAATTTTAATTTTTAGACTCAATTTTAAGTACTCTAAATATTTTCAACATTGAAAATCTTAGTAGCCACAATGCCAGACATAGAAAGTACTCAATAAGTTTTAAATGTGGTTTGTAACCAGTTCTTATTCCAATTTTACACCATGAAAAGAAATAAAATATAGTGAAAACAGTATTTAGGAAGAAATAGAAATACATGGCTTTTCATTTTTTTATTCCCTTTGCATTATGGAAATACAGTTATGGCAGTGAAATAGAAGAATAGCTGATTTTTGTGGGTATGTGATTGGGAGATAGGGGTTCATGTACTCTCTCTGAAACAGTATTTTTTTACTTACTTAAGTTCTTATATTTTGTGAGGCCACATATCCTTTAAGAAAAATAAATGTTTTATCAGAAGGCATAATATATCAAGGAGTGAAAGTAAATTACAGTCAAATGTTTATGTTCTGTTTAAATCTTGTGCTTTACTATGGCCACACTTGAAATCAGGATTTGCCTTTTGATAGTCATTTGACAATTATTTGTTCATCTATCTTAATTTCCTTTATTTATAGCTGTATTTCTTCTTTTTTTTCCCACAGTCTAAAACTATAACAGTAATGAATTCAGATACAGCGAGTGAAGTTATCAACATGTCATTATCAATGCTAGGGATAACTGTAAGTTACTATGATAGATATTCTTAATTATAAATAAACTTTGATACTGTAAATTCAAAGTAATATTTAGTAATTTAGATGTAAATTATCCCTTCTATCATAAGATGGCTCATTATTAGCGTACTGATGATGATGATAAATTCTGAAGGATATGCTGTGAGCCATATTGACTGGCTGCAGGTCCTGAGGATAAGATGGCTGATTCTGCTAGTTAATAAAATAATAGCTTTGAATTAGATCATGGGTTTGGAAAGCCTTAGTGTACATATCATAGTCTTCCTTCTTTAACTTCTAGCTTCTGCCCTTTTCTGGGGCAGAAGCAAGTTTTTGAAATTTTATTGTTGGAAAAGATTGGAATATTCAAAGATGAGGTATAGGGGGAAAAGATTAGGAAAGTTTTCCTTATTGCTTTCCTACATGTTACATAAACACCACACAATTAGTAATTTTAGTAAAAAGAGTAATTTTTAGAAGGATGATGTTTTACTCAACTTTTCATTACTGTGACCAAAAGACTGCATGACAACAACATAGAGAAGAAAAAGTTTACTTTGGCTCATGGTATCAGAGGTTCAGTCCATGATTGTCTGACTCCTTATCTCTTGGCTCAAGGTGAGGCAGAATGTCATCGTGGAAGGGAGAGGTGGAGGAAAGCAGCTCAGAACATGACGCCAGAAAGTAGAGTGAGAGCTCCCTTTACCAGGACAAATTATATACTCCAAAGGCTTGCCCCTAGTGACCAAACTTCCACTAACCTCCTCCCATCATCCTACAGTTACCACGCAGTTAATCCATCTCAATGGATTAATCCACTGATTAGGTTACACCTCTCAAAATCTAATCATTTCTTTCTTGCACCATCTCACACATTAGATTTCAGGGGATACTTCATATCTAAACCACAACAGATGAAAACATTAGAACATTTTTAAATTATTAAAACACTCTATTATTATGACATGACACATTTAAGACATTATTGAATTTATATTTTCTCTTACACAGTACTGTACAAAGGCCACTAAGAATTCAGGGCATGCATTCTGCCGTCATGTATAACAAATCAGAATTTTTTTTAAAAAATTACACCGTATTGATACGGACATGAAACAAATTCTCATGATTTAGAAAGGTAATGTAAATTGCTGTTATTTATTAGTGAAAATTGTTTATTTAATATATATGGTACTCCTCAATAAGTAGCATAGACCTTTAGAAACTGCTATACCTTTGAATCATGATAGCATATACTTATATGATAGCATAAGACTACAGCTGTGTTGATCCATACAGTTGAAATCTGGGTGCTAGGAGGAAAGAGGACATACTTTCAAAATGAAATAAATAATAAAGTTTGAGAAAAATCGGTTTCTAGGGACCAAACACAATTTTAATTTTAGTTTCATTACATCCAGTTTAACTAACAGAACAAAATATCACATAAATATTAAATAGAAGTAATATCAGTGTAACACATCACATGTATAAAGACTTATAAGAGAAATATGTAGAACTTATAACAAAATAAAAAATTATGGAGGACATAATGTATTTCATTCTGCACACTATGTGTGTAAATAAAACTCATCATTGCAAAGACAACCATTTTATCTCATTTGATGTATAGTATTTCCCCATAAAAATTTTATCATGTTTTTTTTCAATAAATCAAACCAATGCAATTTTTTTTCTAAAATTTATCTGGGAAGTAAAATATTCCCAAGCTTCTAATTTAGAAGACCAAATAAAGTAGTTATTGTTATGTGACATTAATGTATATTATGAAACCATATTGTAATAATACAAACCAATAAATCATAATGTCAACAAAAAAAAGAATTCAAGGCAATCAAAATTCGAGATAAGAAATATATTTCATGAATAAAATTTAGTAACATTTAAAATGTAATTAAATTTTATTTACACCAGGTAAAGCAGGGACATCGGCATTGATTTCCTACTTAAATGAATAATACATGACTCAATTTCTTTTTTGTATTTTCTTCTAAATAAAGTGATCAGTCTTCTCAAGACCAAAAAAAATTAAAAAAAAGAAGTCACATTAACTTAGGAATTGAGGCTGTTAGTTATAACATATTTTTAAGTGTTTTCAGACTACATAAAAAGAATAGGTTGTTCTTACTCTTTTATTAGGGGATGAGCAGATAGCAGTTTGTATGGTATTCTGTATACCTAGGACCCTTTATTATATTTGCCTTTCAATAGTCATTTGACAATTTTTGTTCACCTATCTTAACATGATTTTTTATTAGAGGTTAAAGACAAGCATTTGAAATATTGATAACAGAGTTGATTATTTTTGTTCCAGCTTCCATTTAAAACATTTTATTTATTCCACAAGACTCAGCAAAGTCTATAAAATTTAGTTTTATTTCTTTGAAGTGGGATTTATAGTCTTGCTGGGTTTAAATTCTCCTAGTGAACAATTTTATTGTTTTCCATGACTGCGCCTAGTCTCTAGGTAGAATTCTTATCCTTTCTGTTCCAGGACTGGACTTGCCCAAACTAAAGCCAATACAACTGCCTATCTCCTCAAAGCCTTTTGGTCATTCTAATAATCACCTCTGATATTTTACTTTTTAATCATAGACACAGAAGTGTTTGTGGCTTGCTGGGTAACAGGTTGACTTTGCAGAAGTATGTTACATTCTTTGAGAAGTTCAGAGATATTACTGAAGTGAGGACTCTCTAAAGAACTAAAGATTAGCTTTGTAGAAAAAGGAAGTTTGTTCTTTGTAAAAGGACCTGGCTTCAGTTTCACCTTCCATGGGCTTACCTTTATAGTGAATGTTCAATTCCATTATGTTTGTGGATCCCTAGACATCAGTGGTGGGGGCAGAATTTCCAAGTCCTTTTGGGGAATGGGAGATGGGTTGTAGGAATCAGCACTTCCATCTTTAAAAAAATAATAATATCCACTGTCCCAGGAACCTGAATAGCATTTATAATTTTTCTAAATCTTCCTCTTTGCAAAGCTTAAAAATGCCAATAATGTGTCTTCATTCAAGTACTCGACAGAAGATTAATTGTGACTTTTAGTTTTTTTATCTCTAAGGGCTCTGAGAGAGATTACCAGTTATGGGTCAATTCTGGAAAAGAAGCAGCACCATATCCACTCATTGGTAAGTTCTGTGAAAATCTAAGACAGTAATATGTTTTAATTATAATATATTTTATTTATAATTCTAAGTGTCTCAGAGATGGTAATATGATCCTAAGCTTAAATACTATTAAATCTCAGGTGTTGTGCGTTCATTAAATGTATATTAAACATTTGCTTTGTGCTTGACAGTAGTATCTTTTTACTCAAGCAACTAATGGTATAGTCAGGAGGACAAATGTAAATTTTCCTCTTTGCTTTTTCACTTTACAATTGAAGCTATCTTGCCAAGCTAATTATTACTATAAGAAAGCAATAAATATTAGTATCCCATATTAATTTCTTGAAGTTCCTATTCCCTTTCTCACATTTTACTACATTGGCTAGGTGGAAGACCATAATGCGATCATGCATCTAATCCAACATTAGATGTATAATACCTGTCTGTGCCGCTTTTTACCTTTCCTAGGTGTGAAAGAAAAATAGATTATATCTTTATGACTACTAAAAGTCTTAACTAATTTGCTAACTACTATTTCACTTACTACTATTACTCTAGCTAAATTTTTCAGCCTTTGTTTCGGGGAATTATTAATAGGTTATACTTCACCTTATTTAACTAATTAGCTAAAAATTTCTTAATAAGTAATTTCATTTACTGCATTAGAAATACAGGTATTAAAGTAAGGGACAGTATCTATGGCAGCTCTTGAGATGATTTGTTCAACATTGTTCAAATCATGTCTTATGTAATCCTTCCATCATCAATGATGATCACTGTTGTATAATTCAGACTGTTTCAAGTAAGCTGAGTCATCTAAAGCCAGACTTTTCTGTGAAATCTTTCTATGTATTCTAATGCTTATTTAGAATATAGAAAGTTGTCATGCATATAACTAAAGACAAAACTGTTTACACTTCAGGGTTTATTTTTTATCTTGTCATTTTTGTAAAAGTGAATGAGCAACAATGAAAGTAGTCATTACAAAATCAAATATATACTTAAATTGTTATTTTAATAAATTCATTAAATCTAGGTGGATGATAGTAACAGTTTCAAATTTTCATTACCAGCTCTTACTGAAAAATCATGGGACATGATTTACATGTGATTTTTTAATTATACATTTTAAATATGACTTGCAAAACAAGTCATATTTGTACATTAGTAGTTGGCTATTTTGATAAATGAATTTTGTATTACTGCTGTAATAGAAGCCATATTTGTCTTAATCCCTGGAAGTTACTGTAATGTGGAAATATTGATAACATTTACATTGTATGCCTATGCCAGTGGAAAGGAAGAGTAAGATTTCATTAAGTTATATTCAGTATTAAAAATAGAACTTACTCTGTGTATTTAAAAAGTCAATAACATGATGTTAACTTGAGGATTACAAGGGGATATTTCCTTAGAGTACTGCAGAGCAAAAATCACATTGCAGTCATATCTCCAAGGTTTAGTTTTTCTAGTTTATAAATTTCTTGTTACACCTGTGTCTGTGTTTCTAATCTGCAGTCTTCTGACTTTAGCCTATGAACACCAAGCTAGTATAGCACTGGAAGGGAAACATAAATAAAACAAATTAGTCCCAAGGCTCTTCAATAACTAGTTTTATAATTATTAAAAATGAATGAAATGTCTTTGGTGAACATGCTAGATAATAGTAGTAGTGATACTTGACATATGTAGTTTTTTGTCCCTATTTAACTATTAGCCACTAATGTTTACTTATTTGATCCTCGTAATACTTGTGATAGTTATGTAAACATTTTAAATCATGAATTTGAGGCTGAAGAGTGACAATAGATTTCTGAAGATTGACAGATCTAGTTAGTATCAAATGAGAAACTCAAATGCCTCTAAATGTTAGATACAAACAGAAAGAGGGTTGGGGTTGTGGCTCAGTAGTAGAGCACTTGCCTAGCATGTGTGAGGCACTGGGTTCAATTCTTAGCACCACATAGAAAGAAATAAATAAATATAGGCATTGTGTTCATGTACAACTAAAAAATAAACATTGAAAGACAGACTGATCATTGCAGTCATTTTCTGCACTGAATTTTGATCTAAAATTTTTATTATATGAGATTCACTTTCCATGTAATCATTTGAAATAAGATATTCATTAAAGTTTTTTCCCTTTTTTCCCTTCTCACCATAAAAGTATTTTGGTAGGTCCACATGTGTGTGGTGGTCATTCAGTCAACAAAAGGATTCTTTATACTACAAGTCCCAGGACTATAAATTACAATACATATAAGTTTGTAACAAACATGTCCACAGTATTGTATTAGTCAACCTGAAGAATACATTTAGATTTTTCTCTTTGTAGGGCATGAATATCCCTATGGAATTAAAATGAGCCATCTTCGAGACACTATTCTTCTGGCACAGGGATCAAAGGACTCTGCCTCCCCTTCCAACCTGCAAGAGCCCTTCCTTATGGAACAACTGCCCCGAGAGATGCAGTGTCAGTTCATCCTGAAGCCCAGCCGCCTGGCTGTGGCCCATCAACTGAGTGGTGAGTTGTTTCTCCTCCTTCATAGAGTCTTCTCTCAGCAAAAGTTTTCATTCTTTTTTTATTCGTTCTAATTAGTTGTACATGACAGCAGAATGCATTTCAGTTCGTTGTACACAAATGAAGCACAGCTTTTTAGTTCTCTGGTAGTAGAGTTGCACCATATGTGCAGTAATACATGTACCTAGCATAATGATGTTCATCTCATTCTACCATCTTCCTGCCCCCATGTCCCCTCCCTTCCACTCCCTCCCCATTATGGATCAGAATCCACTTATCAGGGAGAACATTCAGCCTTTGATTTTTGAGGATTAAAAAGTTTTCGCTCTTGAACATGAATTTAATACAAAGACCCAAACCAAATTTCCACCCAGGTGAAATACTTTCTTTTGATTTTGCTAATAAGTGTTTTAAAAAGAAAAGGTGGCATTTTAGGGGGGTGGGGAGTTAGTTTTATAAATCACCAATAGGCATCATTTACTTATATTCAGCAGCAAGTAATAATACAGTCAGTCCCTTCTTTTTTCTTTCCCCCTGTAACCTTAGGCTCAGTGCAGAGTCAAAGGCATAGGCAATGCTACAGGTGTTTCAATGCTTTCTTTGTATTCTAACACACTCCACTGTGTGTTCCCCCTAAATGGTCACATCATAAAAAGGAGGTTGTCAGTGATGTGTGTCAGAAGACTGTGATGCCTTACCTGGATCTTGGTACTGATAAGTATGAGAATACTAACGTGAATTTCTACAGAAGTCTCTCATTGGCCTACTCATTCTGATATGTGTTTCCTTTCTCTTAACTACTTCATAAAAAGGTCCTAGCATGGTAACAGCGATGTTCAATGTAAAAGCAACATAATTTGTCTTCATCCAAGCTTGAGCTGTAAGCTTATTCTGAAAGTAAGCTGTATAAGAAACAAAAAAATGGATAACAAAAAATGTGTGATAGAAAATTGATACTGCCTTTGTCAATTTAAACCTTCTGAGAAATCCAGTGAACAGTGCCATTGGTTTTTACAGATAAGTGATAAGTCTAAGAGAAAGCATGGACCTTGGGAGATCACTTTCTACCCTCCCTGCCACATGTCAGATTATTAGCATCATCTGAATGCCAGATGAAATTCTGAAACTCTTATCTGTGTGTGATCCAATTAGTGTAGCATTAATGAGAAAGTAGCTGATACTGTTTTTAATCTCATTGCATAATGAGCTTACTTTAAGAAAAATTTGTAACGATCCAAACTTAAAGACCCAACAAATTAAATCTTTACTCATTATAAAGGTTTTTCTTGCTTTAAGTATTAATAACATCATCTTCCTCTGATGCATTTTAAATTTAATTTATATTTTTATTTTCATACTAAAATAACTAGTTTTTTAAATAATTGCAGCATAAGTGTGAAACTTATTTTAACTGTTCATCTCTTTGATTTTTATTGGGCAAGTTGTAACAACCTTTTCTCCTTTTTATTCAGCCTCTGTTCTTTATTCTTCCTTTATAGAAGCTCATATTACTTCTTTTTCTAATCCATTGAGCTCTACCACTTTCTCCATCTATTATATTAGTTCCCTCCTATTTTTACTCTTCCCTCCATATCCAACTTAAATTCTATGGTGATCATGATAATCTTTCTTGCACACAACCTCATCTTTCTTCATCCTTCTTCCTGCTTTCCTGTGCACCTAATAATATTCCATCTCTCAATGAACTCTGAGTACTGCTAGATAAAACCATATAGCAGAAGGGTAGTTTGGTACCACTATTGACCAACCTCATATGCCCACTCCATATTAGCTGGGCAATCTTAACTTTGCTTTCCTAAAATATTTTCCAGTTCAGATCTTTGACCTGTTTTATACAGACACACACACACACACACACCCTTACACACACACCCTTACACACACCCCCTTCCACACACACAGTCAACCTTGCCATTTTCTGAGGATGACCTTAGCTCAAACTTTATACTTTACTGAAGTTGTCAATAGGTCAGTTGTCTTGCATTAGTTATCATTTTCTCTCCAATAACGGTAAATTGAATTTTGGATTCTGAGGCTATTTGTTCACATTCATGGGCCATTTTGAGGATGCTACAGTGATATGGTGTTCCTTTCATTAAAATGAGAAGGCAGATATTCTGGTCCATTTTTCCCAGCCTGGATTAGCAATTGGTACATACAAACCAGTATTCAATAAATAGTTGTTAAACAAATTAATAGATCTGTTAGCTGAAGAGAATAATATCTGACTATTCTACTTTTACACCCATGTTTTATTAAAATTATTTCTCATGTCAATTTAGTTTAATTAATAATCACAAGTCAGAAATCCTAAGAGTTTTGCCCAATTTTGCCATTGACTTGTTCAGTTTAATTTCAGGCATCCTCTGCTTAGTTCCTGTCTGTTCTGCCTAGTACTTGTCTATTAGAAGTTAGGATAGTAGTAGTTCCCACTTTAGAGGATTTGTAGCAAATGGGTAAAGGAATGAATACATGCCACTGATGCCAAAGCTAACCATCCAAATCACCTGTGTAATTAAAAATTATAGATGAACCACTTTTTTTTTCAATACAGAAGATTTTGATTCGGGGGAAAAATGAGAGTTCATAACCCACTTGAATCAAATGTGTGAAATATGATATGTCAAGAGCTATGTAATGTTTTGAACAACTAATAAAAAAAAGAAAAAAAAATATTTTGATTAAAAACAGCTTTTGAAATCACTAGTTCAATCAGATCTTAATCAGCAGAATTTCTGTATGGGGTAAAATTTGGGAGAGACAAGTGGGTTCAAATTAGTTATACATGGCAGTAGAATGTATTTTGGCACATCATAAATGGAGTATCATTCTTCTGGTTGTACATGATGTAGAATTACACCAGTCATGTAATCATATTTGCACATAGGGTAACTATGTCCAATTGATTATATTATCCTTCCTACCTTTATACCCTCTTCACTGCCCTCTGTGCAATACAGAATACCTCTAATCTTCCCCGGCTCTCCACATTGTGAATTAGCATCTGTATATCAAAGATAATATTTGGCCTTTGGTTCTTTTTTTTTAAAATAGAATTTTTTAATATTTATTTTTTAGTTATTGGTGGACACAACATCTTTGTATGTGGTGCTGAGGATCAAACCCGGGCCACATGCATGCCAGGCGAGTGCGCTACTGCTTAAGCCACATCCCCAGCCCAAGGCCTTTGGTTCTTTATGATTGGCTTATTTCACTTAGCGCGTGATATTTTCCAGCTCCATCCATTTACAGGAAAATACCATCATTTAATTATTCTTTAAGGCTGAGTAATATTCCATTGTCTTTATACGCCACATTTTCTTTATTCATTTATCCATTGAAGGGTACCTAGTTTGGTTCCATAGCTTAGCTATTGTGATTTGTGCTATAAACACTGATGTGGTTGTGTCATTATAGTATGCTGATTTTAATTCCTTTGGGTATAAACCAAATGGTGATTCCATTTCAGGTTTTATAAGGAATCTCCATACTGTTTTGCAGAGTGGTTGCACCAATTTGCAGTCCCACCAGCTTTTTCCCCATAGACTCACCAAGTTTTATTGTTGCTTGTATCTTAATAATTGCCATTCTAACTTTAGTGAGATGAAATCTCATGTAGTTCTGATTTGCATTTCTCTGATTTCTAGAGATGTTGAACATTTTTTCAGATATTTGTTATCAGTTGTATTTCTTCATCTGTGAAGTATCTGTTCTTTTCCTTAGCCAATTTATTAAATGGGTTTTGTGTGTGTGTGTGTGTTAAGTTTTTTGAGTCTCCAGGTGTTAGAGCTTCTATTTTTTTTTGTTTTATTATTGATTTCTAATTTCATTCCATTATAATGTGATAGAATACAGGGTATTATCTCTATTTTTTTGTATTTACTAAGAGTTGCTTTGTGGCTTAAGATGTGGTCTGTTTTAGAGAAGGATCCATGAGCTGCTGAGAAGAAAGTGTATTCCATCATTGATGGATGAAATATTCTATATATGTCTGTTAAGTCTAAATTATTGATTGTATTATTTAGTTCTGTAGTTTCTTTGATAAGTTTTTGTTTGGAGGATCTATCCAGTGATAAGAAAGGCATGTTAAAGTCACCAAGTATTATTGTGTTGTGGTGTATTTGATTATTGAAATTGAGAAGGGTTTGTTTGATAAACGTAGATGCTCCATTGTTGGGGCATAAATATTTACAATTGTTTGTTACATCTTATTGATGTATCATTCCTTTAAGCAGTGTGAAATGTCCTTCTTTGGCATGAAGTCCACTTTATCAGAAAAGTTAATCTGACATGAGATAGAAACCCCTCTTGTTTATGCTATCCATGGAGTGATATGTTTTTTCCCATCCTTTCACCTTTAGTCTATGGATATCTTTAACAATGAGGTGAGTCTCTGGAGACAGTATATTGTTGGGTCTTGTTTTTTATTCCAATCTGCCAGTCTATGTCTTTTAATTGATGAATATAGGCCATTAATGTTCAATGTTATTATTGAGAAATGACTTGTATTCCCATTCATTTTTGTTTGTTTCTGGTTATTAATTTGAATTTCTCTTTTGGTTGACTATTCCTATAGTGTAGTTCCTTTCTTTGCTGGTTTTCACTTTTTTTGTTTTCATTTCRTCTTCATGGAATATTTTGTTGAGAATGTACTATAGCTCAGACTTTCTAGTCAGGCTTTCTTTTAACTTTTATTTATCAGTGAAGGTTTTTATTTCATCTTCAAAACTGGAGTTAATTTTGTTGGTTGTAGAATTTTTGGTTGGCATTCGTTTTCTTTCAGAGTTTGGTGTATATTATGCTAGGACCATCTAGCTTTGAGGGTCTGGGTTGAGAAATCAGCTCAGATCTGAATTGGTTTTCCCTGTGTACAATCTGATATTTTTCTCCCATCACCTTTAAAATTCTGTCCTTATTCTGTATGTTGGGCATTTTCTTTATAATGTACCTTGGTGTGGGCCTGTTGTAATTTTGTACATTTA